CGACGCTGGGCGGCAGGCCGTTGACGCGGGGGATGGATATGGGCCGTAGCTCGATGAGATCCGGGTGGAGGTTGAGTGGGCCCAATCTGGATTGGGCCTTGGGTGGGACGATGAGGATGACCTTGTGAGCCCTTTGGGCTAGTTTGTTGGCGGTGAGAAGGTATGGGGTGAGGTGGCCCATCGCAAACCATGGGTACATGACAATGGTGAGCGGACGGTGGCCAGACATTTTTTTTTATTATTTTTTTTTTCTTATATTTTCCCTTTCCTTATCGGCTGTAAGAATTGTCACTTCGAAAGTGACTATTTATATAATTTGTCGGAGAAAACTAGAAGAAATGGTAGGTAGATGGACGCTTAGAAATATTCACGTGCAGATGGCAAAAGGAAGAGAAAAACTTGGAGCGAAAATCGCTTTAGAAGTGAAAAAAAGTTACTCTTTAAATTTAAAAATAAAAATAAAACTAACAATGATGTGATAAATGATAAGGAAGACTGGGAAGAGTTTTGAAGCAAATATATAACAGCAATCTCCAATGGTTGTCGTCTATATCGCAGTAAATAGACGGCCTTCTGTCCACGTGTACTAAAGAAAATGACATATATAGTAGTAAATGTGTATACGACACACATGTTTTTCTTTTCTTCTATAAAATACTATAAACTGTATTTTAATGTTTTTCTTTTCTTCTATAAAATACTATAAACTGTATTTTAGTGATCATAGTTTTAGTCTTGATGAAATTTCAGATGTAGAAAGACATCTGGATGTTTTGTGTCTCTCTCCTGCCACATAATCAGATGTAGAAGTAAAAAAACTCATTGTTGAAGACTATTTCTATCCTAATGCTTCTATAACTCTACAATTGACATATCATTGGAGATACTCTAAATGCGCTACGTGCCCAAAACCAGGTGATTGGTGTACACAACAAATTATGATTGGTGTAAGAATATGAAAGAAATAATGTGAAGTTTTTTGGGTTAATCATGATTAAAGCTGATTGGTGTACACAACAAATTAAGTTACTTATCAGCGAAGAGGCAATATGCACAGACAAATTAAAGTGGATAAATGTACACAATAGTTGCCGAAAGTCTGAATCGACTTACCTATAATTTTCATAATTGGTTAGAGAAGAAAAATGAATCTTATAGTTTGAGAACATATACACTGTGGAAGACGCAAAGCCCCACCCGAGCGTCCCCCAGAGCCGGCGACAACGCAAGGGCCACAGCCAACAAAAACATCGCGAGTTTTGCAGGAACCGAAGAATGCCGACGACCGAGAAAACTAAAGCAAATACATAGTGCCACGCCAACTGAAAAATTTTTTTGCATAAGAGTTTTGTTTAATAATATGTTTTAAGATAATGCTACATGACCATTTACATATTTTATATTGCTTTCATAATGCTACAAACCAAAACATAGGCTTACATTACCAAAATATTAATATGCGATAGTTATTTTTACATAAATGTGTAAATGCATGAGAGAGAGAGAGAGAGAGAGAGAGAGAGAGAGAGCTCCCACGAATCTACAATCATGAAATCAAAACTTTTAAAAGGAAGCGTACACATTGTGACACGATGTTCAAAAACTATAAGACCCTGAATAAATAGATAGGAAATATATTCTTCTCATCATCTTAAAAGACTATCATATGACAGAACCTATGAGATTCCTTTTCTAAAAAATAAAGATGAGACTTCGAACACAACCAACATCTTGCATTTGACTAACATGGAAGGTTCAAATACCAACTACACAAGCTAGGGTCCTAATCTTGATTGGGTTTGGCCTACGGTAAACCTGAAAGAGTGAGATTTATCCTTTGGTCTCTTGTTCAAGGGGCAGGCGCTCGCCAAATAGTCTTCCATAGGTAGGGGTCGATCGTGGTCTCGCTCGGTATTCGATAAGGCTCGATACGCCGTTTTTGTAGAAAATACCAGTTTCCTACAGTTGACCGATACAGCTCGACCGCTTGAGACAGGGCAGATTCTAGATCAAAGAGGAATTGCCCACACTGGAACCACCCGTGGGAGTGTAGGCGTACTGCAACAACATACCCAATCCCAAGTTGTGGCAACAAATAAAATAACATACCAACACATCAAATAAACAAAACACATTTGCTGCAACTAAATAACTTGAAGATTCAAAAGGCCCTCTTTTGTTTTGACAATCGATGCATCATTATATTAAATATCACATTGATTTTAACTCTTCGAAGCAATTGAATATTACTTACATCGCGCTTTCCATGATCAAATATGATGAATATACATACACAAATATATATATATATATATATATATATATATATATATATGGGTAGCTCAGCGTAAATTTCTGCCGAGATATGCCTAAAACGGCTATTGAAACTCAAAATTCAAAGCATATATGAAGTTGAAAAATCTTTATCAAATCACAACCCGAAATATATATTCTCCAGCAAGAAGAAGGATTCAGTGTTTGTGCAAGAGAGTAAGCGAGCAATATCTGCGCAAAAAAAAAAATGGCGTTAAATAGTCAAAATTGATAAGGCAAGAGCAAGCAAACAAGTATGCACCATCTGAATCTGACGGATTCGAGTTGATCGGGAGCAGGTGGCGCGTCACGTCGGGTCGTTGGGATCGCGAACGGAGGCTGGTCTCGTCGGCATCGACATCGAGCATCGCGGCTGGGCTGCGTGGAGTCGTCGGGATCGTAGCGCGGGACTAGCCGGGCTGGGGGATCGTCACGGCGTGTTCGGGTTCGACTCCTCGTCGCTGCGGTGATCGTCGGCTAGCCGTGGGCTGTCGGCGGCGGTAAGGCTGGGCTCACGGAGGTCGGCGGTCGTCTCCGAGATTGATGAATATATTTGATCATGCGGTATCGATTACCATGAGATTCTACTGTATAACTCAAACACCTCTTCAAACCGTACCGGTGGAGCAACGTGAAGAAGATAAAACTCGAACAAAAATCTAGGGAGAGAAAGAGAGAGAGAGAGAGAGAGAGAGAGAGAGAGAGAGAGAGAGAGAGAGAGAGAGAGAGAGAGAGAGAGAGAGAGAGAGAGAGAGAGAGTGGCCTGCGTGTATTATTACATGTAGGATAAATTTGATCCCTTCTTATCTTTTTCATGAGCTTAATGATGTATATGTAGAGCTACAATAGGATTCTAAGGAGAATAGGATTAGGGCTTCTTAAGTAATGGACTAACTGTGGGTCTGACCCACTCTTCTAATTATTTAAATAATATTATCGTCTACTAATATAATATTATTGCACTCTCTTTTCCTATTCCAAATTAAATTTAAAATTCCAATAATAATTACTCGAATTACCTCCGCATATTTAAGATATAAGGGCCATTAATTAATCTGATTACTGACAATCAATAATTAATTAATATATTATATTATCAAAGCTAGCGCACGTTTATTATATTATTATTATGTCGGAACTAAATCCATCTGCAGGGTTTAGTATAACAATCCTTCATGAACTCATTTCGGGGACATCATCAAACTAAGGCACATGGTGACAATAAATATCCTAACAACACATCATACATACAACAATATTATCCAAAACAGTAAGACTATTGATCCAACGAATAGAATCTCACCCAAGTGAATCAAAGTAATAAATACTGCATGTATATGTCTGTTTAATATCTTACGGGTTAAGAGAACGCAGTAATTAACCGAGGCCTAGTTCGTTTACGACGATCAGTATAAACGAACTTCTCCTCTGTAGGACCTGTTCAATGTACTAGTGCAACTAATCAGTCAAGACCAACAGTACCGTTGACACTACAACCATTCTCATGGGGTGCTCATTTCCATTTAGGTTATGAACCAATAGTTCTTGTTTTGCAGGTAACTGATAAAATGATCTTTTGTTCACTCGCTAATGAACTATTTTATCTAAATGCGAAACAAGATGAGGGTGTTAATAACTAGGGCTGAGCATGAGACTCGAAGAATTCCGAACCATTCCCAAAACTGAACCGAAATCACTCCGAACCAAAAAATATTCGTTGACCGTTTGACTTTCTCCGAACCGAACCGAACCGAAAAAATAATTGGTACTGTTCTGGAGATTTCAAAAATATCCGTACCGAGAATCGAACCGAACCGTACCGTACTGTACCGAACTGTACCGAACCGAAAAACGGAAATTAAGAACCGAATTATAACATTAAATGTGTTACTAATATATTTTATGTCAACTTTGATTCTATATAATATAGTAATAAATATTAATATTCACTTAAATTTCATTCTTAGCTTGATCTACAATTGAATTTTTTCTATTATAAAATAATTATTTAAAATAATATGAGAGTTTAAAAAATATTTTTGTAAGAAAAAAACATTATATTTTATTTGAATTTTAAACTTTCAATATTAGTTGCACAAATTTTAGTTATAACTAAAATTTAGAGTTACTTATAAAGTTGATTTCAAAATAAAATCCTTAATGTGAGGAAGTAGTGATGAATGTTGGTTTTATTAAAGCATATAAAAATTAAATAACTAAAATTTAGAGTTACTTCTAGAATTGATTTTCAAAAAAAAAAAAAATCTTTAATATGATGAATTATTGATGAATATTGTTTTTTTAAATCATATAAAAGTTAAAATATAACTAGGTAATCATTCAAAAATAATTTAAATAAAATGAAAAATTTCCGAAGATCCGAACCAAACCATACTGTACCGTCCCAATTGTCCCGAATACCGAACCAAACTGAACCGAAAAATAAAATTTTCCGAACCGAACCGAATTTTTGGTACGGTTCCAAAGATCGAATTTTGAGATCTCCGAAATTTGGTACGGTTCTAGAGATTTATCAATCTCCGAACCATACCGACCCACGCTGATAACTAATAGACGAAATAAATAAATAATATAAAATTATTTATTTATTAGTGACCCCTGCCAGTTTATCAAATCAGTTAGTCCATTGAACCGGTCAAACTTCTATTTCAATTCACTATTTTTTTCTAGCTTTATTTTCTAATGAGCTTTCCAATTTCATTTTTATTTCCCTCTTTCGCTTTCTAGGGTTCTTTCATTTACAATCTAATTAAGAAGTTTCACTCAGGTTCAGTCCCAACCGCTCATAACCCTCGAATGTCGGCATCTACCGCTTCCATAACCGCGAATCAAAGGCCCATAACTCGCCGCCGAGCAGCCGAGCAGAGCATTTCGGCCATGGGATCGGATTTCGCGGCGGCAGCCGTCGTCACCGAGTCTGAGAAGAGAGAAGATCGACTCACTGCCGGTAACACTGGCGCCGTGGTCCTGAGGGATGCTACGAGAGCACAGACCCAAATCCCGACGAGGAAGGTTGCCCCTTCCAGGAAGCAAGCAAGGGCGAGATGGCTATCAGTGATCCGCATTCTCACTAGGATTCTGGCGTTGATGGTAGTCTCACTGGGTTTCGTTCAGATGTCTCGATGGGTGGTCATGAATTCTGGTGGTGATGTCAAGGATATAGCGGCAATTTCAGGGGATTTCGAGGGAAAATTATCCGAGATGGAGAAGTTTGTTAAGACGACAATGAAGGCGATGCAGATACAGTTTCATGTGGTTGATCAGAAGCTTGAGGATGGGATTAGCACAGTTAGAAAGGATTTAGATAAGAAAATCGAGCAGAAGGGGGACGAACTGGACTTAGTGTTGAAGGCTCTGGGTGCGCGGAATGATGTTTTTGAAAAGTTTATGGATGAATATGGAAGCAAGAGTCTGCTTTCAAAGGAAGAATTTGGTGACTTTTTTGAGAAATTTAAATCCGCCAGGGGCAGTGCTGGTGATTTTAATGAGGTTAGTTTGGACGATGTAAAGAATTATGCACGGGAGATTGTGGAGAAGGAAATTCAGAGGCATGCTTCTGATGGGTTGGGAATGATGGATTTTGCATCGGCATCAGGAGGGGCAAAGGTAGTGAGGCATTCTGAGCCTTATGGTGCTGTGGGACTTGGTACAAGTTCGAGTTGGTTTATGAATCGTAATAGAGTAAGTGCAGAAGCTGAGAAGATGATTAAGCCGAGCTTTGGAGAGCCTGGACATTGTTTTCCTCTTAAAGGGCAGAATGGTTTTGTTGAGATAAGACTCAGGACTGCCATTATACCCGAAGCAGTGACTCTCGAACATGTTCATAAGGTATAACCATTTGATTCTTCATTTTTTTCAATTTTACATGTTCTATCAGTTATCGTGCTTGTCAAAGAGTTAGATTAACAGTGTGGGATTGGTTAACATTTTGCCTCTGTTTGTTGTATTAAGTTAAGCAAAGTGTAGCTTGGACATATGTATTACTGGCTGTGCTTCTTTTTGTTGTGGTTACTCGATTGGTTCATGAATTGGGGAAAGTTTTATGTGCATTGCTCGCCTCCTCCTTTAATTGATATTTTTATTTTGCCTTATTATGTGTTGCCTTTGTATGACTACCTTTTAATTTGAGGATTGCCTTTGTATGACTGCCTTTAAATGATATAATTATTTTGCCTTATTATGTGTTGCCTTTGTATGACTACCTTTTAATTTGAGGATTGCACATAAATGTGTGGTGGGCTTTAGGAAGGGGAATTTTAGAAGATTGTTGTTGAAAGAAGTATGATTGTAACTATCTTTCTCTATCTCTGTTTATTACCTGAAGCGAGTATTCTCTTGAATTTTGATGTGTAGGCACAGATTTTTTCAACTAATTTGTTGGTTCTAGGTGTTTCAAGCCTGCATCTTTGTTCTCCTAGGTTGTGAAAATTGGCTGAATTCAAACTTTAAATTATCGTTTTCCTAAAATCAAATCACCATGCAAATGTGGAATGCTATCTGCTTCTTTCTGCTCTATTGTCGTGAAGATTCTCAAATTTTTGTCTGTTTTACTATGAACAGAGTGTGGCCTATGATAGGTCCAGTGCTCCCAAGCACTGTAGAGTGTCTGGATGGATGCAAGGAGAATATTCATCTCATATGGAAGTTCATAGTTCAAAGATGATTCTTTTAGCTGAGTTCGTCTATGATCTTGAGAAAAGCAATGCTCAGACTTTTAATGTAACGGCAGCAACCTCTAATCCTGTCGACACTATCAGGTTTGATGTTACATCTAACCAAGGGAGTGCTTCTTATACATGCATCTACCGACTGAGAGTGCATGGTCGTGAACTGGTTCACGACCCCAACTCAGCCTTGGAAATTCGAGCATGATGGAACCCTTGGCTCGTCTATATGTGCTTCTTCTTCTCTTTAGCTTGCTTTATGTTAGTTCCTCTTAATGTACTCTTTTTTCTTTTTTTATTATTAGTCTTGTAATTTGTTTTACTTTTGTGAGAACCTTGGAAATGTAAGCTAGTCGAAGTCGTTTAGGGTTGTTTTGGCACATATTCGTGTTTTTATCTATAAGCGTAATTTTTGTTAATCACTCTTTTGCATTTTGTGCTTGATTTGCCTTTGAGAATTTTGTATGCATGTTATTTGCTACTCTGGTGTAATCATGCGTTTTGTGTTGCTGCCTAGAGTAGTAGCTCTTTACTTGAAAGAAGCTCTTGTAGCTTAGATATTGTTTAGCAGACAAAGATTTTCCTTGTTTTTCTGGAGAGAGAGAGCATTATATCAGGAGATAGAGAACTATGAAACAGATGTCACAACTCACAAGTTGCGAAATACTTGCTTCTCAGTCGAGGTGAACTCTGCAACAGCAAACAAATCGTCTTGTTAACGGAAAGACAAATTTAATTAGTAGATTACATATCATGACAAAACTCAGATGACCATTTCAAAACTACTTGATGCAGATGATCTTAAAGAGGACTGGCAGAGTTAATTCAAATCTATTCTGCGGAGATTCCCAGCATACCCTTCATCAAATCAGTCAAAGCCGACACAAGGCTAGAAGCTCTCCGGATGACCTCAATGACTGTCCAGGTTATTAAGTCCTGTTTTAATACCCTTATAAGCCGGCGACCTTTTGGAATAGTTAGCATACCTTGACAATATGATAGCGATTTTGCGCTCGAGATAGCTTATATCGTGTGCCCCTTTCACCAACTGCATATATTAACGCAAACTCAATGTTCTTGTGTCAGTAAAAGTGTTCACCATGATCATGAACCTTGATCTCAGGTAAATAGGCGGCTATGAACCACACCTGATGATAGACTCAGGTAGATAAGCAGCTAAGAATTGCACTTGTGCCTTGAGCCTTGATCTCAGATAGAAAAGCAGCTAAGAACTGCACCTATTCATGCACAACAGGGTATTCATAGATAGGTGTAGGTAAATATTGGATATAAATCAATTTGAGTTTTGATTGTCTTTTTTGTTTTTTTTGTTAACTTGAGTTAATTTTGAGAAAAAACGGTTATGTTAGGGTTGAGTGGGATCTGAGTTTGTATTAAAATAATATTTAAAATAAAATGATTAAAGTTGATGTAATAATAAGAGATGAGTGATTGGAAGTGATGAATAGTTAAAATTATGTGATGTGATAGATAATAGTGAATAAAAGTTGGTGTGATGTGTGAGAATGGTTCAATAATGCTTACCTACCCACGGTGGGCACATGTTAATATGACCACCGTTTATGTGGCATGCACACATTGGTGATGTATTTTTTTGAACATATTAACATCACCAATGTGTGCATGCCACATAAGCGGGGCATATTAACATGTGCCCTGTGGGTAGGGGAGCATTATACGAGAATGGTTATTTAATATTATTTATTATATTGATAACATTTGGAGAGAGTTTGGTTGAGTTAGATTTTTTAGTTAAATGATAGATTAAAAATGATAGGATATGATTTATATCCAAGCACCCTCTTGAGGGTCAAAAGACACATTGCGAGATGAGTTTACATGAAATCAAACACATCCAATCTAGCCAGAAGCTCTTGGTAGCCGATAGGTGCGACCAGGGTCCGCCATTGATGTCACTGCCTAGTCGTGCTCTTCAAAATTTGGGACGTCGCTCCACGACTCGACCATTTTTCTGCACTATCCCACATGCAATTTATGGTCATTTTCGTGATCCGAAAATGTCTATTTCGGACTATAAACAATTTTTAAGCTACTAAAACTCATTTATTTCTGCATAAACAACTTAAAATTAATTTCTCATTCTCAAAAATGGTTTTGAGAATTTCTTAAATATTTCATTTGAAAAAAAAAATAAAAAAAATTGTAACCTTAAAATAGGTACAAAGCTAATTTTTTCTTACACTTTCATGGCATTCCTTTTAATTGGCTTTCATTTTTGTTTGTGGTCATTAATTATATTATAGAACTTACAAGCAACAGACCTTATATACAACATGGATTTAAAAATCGAAAAATTGATTATCAGGTTTCCAAAGTATGCAGATTTCGTTCCTTTCTATATGTTCACGTGGACGCCATGCGTTTCCATCTCCACTGTTTTAGGCCAAAACAAACTACAAAAGCCTCAATTATATGCTACGGTCTCGTTACGGAACCATTTCGTCAGAGTATGTAACTGTTACATCAACTATCCCTGGTGGCTATATGATGATCGAACGGTTACAAACCCCGACAGAATGGTTCCGTAACGGGACTGTAGCATTTCCCTATCTTAAAAGTTGCTACATTCACTAACAACCCCAAATTCAATTGACCATATATTAGAACACAGTTGGTTTCTTTGATGTCCAGAGAACATATAACTTTGTTGTGCATGCTCATCATTCTATAAATAGGCTTGAATCAAGTGTAGCCATTAGTTTCCTCCCACTTTTTTTCTCTCTAATATGGCAAAATAGGCTTTCCACACAAATCTTTTTGCCTTCTCTCTTTTGTCAAAACTCAAAAATCCTCTATGGCCCTCAACAATGGCTCATCTGGTTGTCCACCTTTCATGAAGCAACACTCTGTGCCATGTTGAGAAAAAAAATCATTCTTCTCTATTAATTTTTTTTTTATGATTTTCCTTTTCCTTCTGTGCATCTTTTTGATTCCTTCGATAAACGGCGAAAAAAATACGGTATGGCCGGGACCGTGTACTTGAGAACGGACCGTTTCGAGGTCAAGCTTGAAGGGATCACCTTCAAGACCAAGGATTTCGAATCCCTTTGCAAGGTGGGCTTTCTCTTCCCGGAAGGCGACGATTGGGCCGGCCGACCCATCGTGGGACTCGACGTCATGCCCCACCCCCGTGACCCGTCCATCATCCTCCTCCTCCTCTGTTTCGGTATGGGCTGCGTCATCCTCCGGTTCGCCGCCGGCGAGGCCCTCCCGGCTGGAATCCACAAATTTCTCGCCGACAAACGAATCCACGTCGTGTGCTTTGGCATCCCCGAAAAGTCGGACCTCTTCCCGTTCGAGGAGCTCGGCCTCACCCGGAACGAGTCGGATATCGGTTACCTAGCTTCCAAGATCCTCAAGGATCCCAAGTACAGAAAATCCGAGCTCGACGAGCTCGCGCGCAAGGTCCTCGGGATCAAGCGCATGATCGGGCTAACCGAGGCCTCGTCCTTCGAGCGGCACGAACAAATCAAGAGCGCGATATGCCAACTTTTCATCACCACCGTGATTTCGATGGGCCTCGTGGGCGCTAAAGACAAGAAAAAAACGGACTATGGCTCGAAAATGAACTCATTTCGCAAGAACTTGAACTCCCTCCATCTCCTCGCCGACGGGTGGTTCAAACTGCCGAAAGTCATTCACCGCAAGAAGCGCGGGCCGTACGAGAACAACAACGGTGATGACACGTTCGTCCACGTCGATGACATCAGCCGTGCACTCGACGATAACAACAAGGAGTGTCGTGACGATGGGCCGATTGTGGACATGCTCGTGAACGCGGAGGTCCCATCGGGAGAGTCAACCCCTAGGGACGGTGTTTTTGAAAAGGACAGCGGCGAAGAAGGGGAGAAGCGGCGGATAAAAGGGATATTGAAGTGCCCGTCGACGAATCTAAGGCGGAGCGAGTCGTTCCCCGTGGACCCGAAGACAAAGACGCCGCCGTCGCCATCGACGCCGGTCGCGCAAGAAAAATGTATGCTGAGGCGGGCGAATTCGAAAGGGTGCAATGTTAGCTTTAAGTTCCATTAGCTCTTACAAAACTCTGCTTATTTAGATCTGTTATGCAGTGTTGGAAATGCGACAACGAACGTGTAATCTTATGATGCCCTTTTTCCAAATGTATAAGTTTAGCTGCCTCCGTGTGTGTTTCGATGGGTTCGTGTATAGGTTGTTTCGGGTGATAAGTGATCTGTCTAGGCGGCACGAGTACGTAATATTATTCTGTATGCGTGTCGTGAGATCATAGTTTGACTGGAAAAAAATTTGCACTGAGGTGAAACGATGGGCCTGGATGTTCTCATTTTATCGATGGTCTGAGTGGTACGATGTAGAGTTGCCGGAAAATGAAACCGCTAATGTCCGTCCGTCTGTGCAGGTTCGATCTTAACGCTGTTTTTTTCTCCCTTTGTACGTTTTTCTTGTGGTGGAGGGTGTGTAAATGGAGTTGACGGCAAGGGCTTTGGGGGTTTGTATATAAGGGATCATCTGATAAAATGTGTATCTGAGTTTCAACTCTTTGTATTTTAGACTATATATGTGTTGTTTTAAATTGTTTATCATTAATTAGTTTCCTATTGAGGAAATTGGTTGTATTTTAGACCATATATGTTTCATATTGTTTATCATTAATTAGTTTGCTATTGAGGAAATGGGCTCCAACCCTTCGCTGTGTATTACTTGTGGACTTTTGTAATTTTCTTGATATTATTGTAGTGTGTGGATTTACAATGACATGGCTTGAGTGAAAAAATAAATAAATAAATTAATTAATAAATATGGGTCTAGCATGTTGTTCAAGACACCATGAAGATTGAAGGATTGTTTGGTTGTGGGAGTTTTTTTTAAAAAAAAGTTGATTTTTGTGTCGATTTTACGGTTACAAATAATAGTATTGTTTGTCGAAAGCTTGTATATTTGAAGTACCGCCATATACAAGTCAAAAATCATTTATCTTGGGGGATTTTGCCGTTAACCGTGGGTATTTTAAGGGAGAATTTCATTTTGAGGAGAACATAACTATTACGTGTTTCGACTTTGATTTTGCTTTAGTTTTCTTCATTCTTCTTAAAACATCTCCTTGATATTCACATACACAATATATCTACAATCTTAAGATGAAATTTTTGTGAGTTCATAAGATGACAAATGAAGGAAACCAAACGTCTTCTTCAAGTGCTCAACCGATAATTCCACCGGCTACTAATCCATTCACCCCAATGGTAGCCGCTCTCATCCAAGACAACAGACTGCAGAAGTACAATAGCTCTGATTTCAAGAGGTGACAGAAAAAGATGTTTTTCTACTTCACAGCTCTCCCCGTATCTCGTTTTCAATTGAATTTTTGGGTAGAAAAGCTCTTTTGATAGAATTTTTTGGGTAGAATTTGTATCCAAGCATGCTCTAAATCTCTCAAAGAGGAAAATTACAAAGAGAGAGAGAGAAAGAAAAAAACTAAAAAGAAAACTTTAAAAAATGAGGTAATCTCCCAAAAAACGTAAAGATTTTTTTTTTTTAATACTGTTGCTAGTACACGCACTAAAAAACACACATTTAGTTGGTGACTCAGGCAATCCGAGTGTGGAGTAAATAAGGGCTGCTGCCCACTCCTTTTGACAAGAGCAAAAAGAAGAAAAAACAAGTAGCACACCTTTGAAAGAAAAAAATTGTACCTGCCGTGTGTTGAAGAATTAAGCTGCCATTTGTTGACAAATTGGAGCTATCTTCTTCTATAAATAGCTGAGCATTTGATCAGCAAAATACAACCAACACAACAAAAAAAAAAAAATACAGAGAGCAAGAGAGAAAAGAGAGGGAGCAATAGTAGCTTTTGTGTGTATTTTGAGTTGTGAGTTGTGAGTGACTTTGCGAGTGTTTTGTAAACACGAGTGTTTTCTTTTCTCCTAATAAAATATCTGCAGTAGTCCGGAGACGTAGGCATTATTGGCCGAACTCCGTTATCAAATTGGTGTATCTAATTTCTATTTTTTATTTCACTTTTATAGATCCGACTTCATGGAAATTTCAGCGTATTTTTCCCAACAACTGGTATCAGAGCCAGATTGTTAATTCTGTATTATTTTGTGTGTGTTACTATTCCGTAAATAGTGAAAACGTGAATAGTGTCAAATTTGTCGGCGCTACAAATTTATCTACCGGCGTGTTCTGAAACACGGTAGTTCACAAAAATTTACAGAAACGATCCGGCAGAGAAGTCAGATCAGAGTAGAAGTGATGGCTGCAGACGAAGGAAAAATGAAAATTGAAAAGTTCGATGGTGCGGACTTTGGCTTCTGGAAGATGCAGATCGAGGATTATCTATACCAGAAGAATATGTAT